AATTTTTTTTTTTTTTTTTTTTTGAGAAAAACTATAAAATAAAATCTCATAGAACTTCACAAAGCCCGTAAAATAAAAATTTCTTCAAAACTCGATAAGCCTTCTTGATTGAACATGTGCTGTCCCATATTGGTTGGGGAGAACAAAATACCCTTTATAAGGGTTAAAAACCTTCCTGCGTTTTAAAGTCTCGAGGGAAAGCCCAAAAGAAAAAGCTCAAATAGAACAATATCTGCTAGCGGTGAATCTAAACCGTTACAGAACATAACAACTAAACTAATTTGATCTACAAAAATGGCCAACAAATCCTCATAGCTACTATTTTGGTAATGCACATGCATTAAATCCAAATGTATTAAATCATTCCAATACTTTTCTTTTTCTTCTTGCTATAATTTATATATTTTGATTGAACAGGTAGCTTTAAATATTGGAGAATTGAAGAAGAGGAGATAAAAAAAAAAAAATAGAGAAATGTTAAGCTGTAGATTGAAACATGAGAAAGTTTAATGAAAGAGGGTGGTGATCGGTGTAGATGAATGGTTTTCATCAATACACTAACGAGACCGTGCTCCATTATTTCTTCATATGCCCATCTGCCATCGAGACCGTGCATCTCTTCGACGCTTCATTCTGTGCATTCACGATGCTACTAAGTATTGAAAGCAAGAGTTTTCTTCACAGACATTGCCCTTGATAAGATGAACAGGAAATGTTCATTTCACCTGAACAGAATGATAAGTTGTGTCAATATGATTGGATTGGCTAACATGCTCATTATTCAGAGGGTTTGAGAGACCCCTTTGAGGTTTGGCCTCGACTCGTATTCCGCTCAAGTGTTTGGTCTTATTTTACTCGACTCGAGGCCTTTTTCTGTAGGTTGCTCGGTTATTCACTCATAAATGCTTTCGTTTCGGGTTATATGAGAGCAACATACATGATAAAATACTTTTGCACCTAAAACTTACAAGAAAGCTACTAGGGGTCTTGAGGAACAATATCAGAGAAGACGCAAGAATATAGTGTAAAGTACCTCATAATTTGGATGCAGTAGCTGTGCATTTATTGGGCTTGGAGGCAACTTTCTGCAATGCAATTGCTACTTTTGAAGCGGAAGGACGCCCCAGGTGCTTGGAGATGAAATCTCCAGCCAACATGAGCTTTTCAAGGTCTACGTTGGTCTTCACTCCAATTCCATTCAGCATATACACAACATCTTCAGTTGCAACGTTTCCAGAAGCACCTTTAGCATATGGGCAGCCCCCTAGACCAGAAACCGAACAATCCACCGTGCCAATCCCCATCTGTTAATAAGATAAGCTGTTTTTCTTCATCTTCTTCATCTTTTGTATCGTTTTCAACATCATTATATCCATTGCATGTAACAGATTCGTTTTCATTACAACAGTTGATCATATAGAGTGAAAAAAATCATAAGCTTGGTTTTCAAAAACCAAAATCAAATGAAATCTTAGCACGGTAGCCCTCAACTTAGAATAATGCTTCTTTAAGAAAATCTAGTTCTTCTAAGTTTGAAAATTCTAGGACAACGCGGTCTTCATTTTGTCTTTTTGGGCTCTCTAAGTTGACAAACTAGATATATATGTATGAGCGCGTGTATATATATATATGTTGTAATTAAGTACTTCATACATATTTTTCTCTTAATCAAATTCAACATAGTCTTAGAAGCCAAGAGAGGAAGTAAGTGAAAGGAGAAAATTTTTAGTTGTTAGTACCTACTCCTCTTCATTATTTGACACATCAGTTACTAGTATATTATTGGTTAAATTGAAAATCTTGTCCCGGAACTTTTCAACAAAAGATCTATGAAACATAAAATTGAATTTCGTGAATAATAGGACAGTGGGCCACTGCAAGTTAGTTATGTGAGCAGGTTGCCTAGGAGTAAAGAGGGCATCAGAAAGAGTTTGGGTATAAGAGTGAGATCCCATGTCGGTTGGGGAGGAGAACGAAACATTCATTATAAGGGTGTGAAAATCTCTTCTTAGTAGACGCGTTTTAAAAATCTTAAGGAGAAGCCCAAAAGGGAAAGCCCAAAAAGAACAATATCTGCTAGCGATGGGCTTGGACTATTACAACAAGTATTCTCGCTATGTGCAAGGTAGAGCAGGAGAGATAAGGTCTCTAATTTCCCTAAATTATACTTTGATACTCGCGAATAAATACCAACTCATTGGCATATATTTTTTTGAAACTAGTAGGTTCCAACCAATTAAAACCAAGATCGAAAAAACAGAGTTTACCTGGAGTGAGAGTAGGATATTGGACAGAGCTTGCCCATACGTGTCATGGAAATGAACAGCAAGATTTTCAATTGGAACAACATCAACTACAGATTCAAGCATTGGAATCACGGTTCCTGCAGAGGTGAGAAAACTAAAGTTAACAAGAACATGAATGTTGCCAATGACTCCTGGAAGAGTTAGAAAAATTACTGTCAAAAAAGGATTCTTAAAACAAATATTTAAAAAAATCATCGTTAAAAAATTGTTTAGGAAAAATTGAGTTCACCATGGGAACTCTTCTAATTAAGAAACTATGGAGATACAAGGTCCTCTTATATAAGAAGAAAAACCATTAATAAATAAAGAAGACACCGGTATAAATATGAAATATACACATAATACAGAACTAATATTACAAAAGATATACAAAGGAAATCCTATAATGGAGTACTTACAACATGCTAGCAATGAATGATATAAGTTAACCAATTTAGAATGAGAGGCATAGACCATACAGATACCTAATTTAACGTGCGATATAATCTTTCTTCGGTTTGTCCAAATGCCTTCCGAAGATAGATTCTGTTCATATCCACTGTGATTTTAAACTAAAGCTATTCCAAGAGGTTACCTGGAGTACCAACACCAATTGTATCGCCAAGGGAAATTTCAGAGCATCCCATGCCGTAAAGCTCCTTAGCGACGTAGGCTACATTTGATGGGGGCACCATTCCTTCAATGGGACAGCCCACAACACATGATACATATCTAACATGTTTATAGGAGACATTTTCAAGATATAAAAAGTAAATCATATCAAACCAGGGGAGTATCAAATCATATCTAACATGTTTATATGAAATCAAACCAGATATCAGATATGATATAATAACTCAGTTTTCTGGTTCAGAGTACCTACCCGCGAACTGGAAGTGAGTGCTTTCTTGCAGCAACAGCAACTTCACGGTAACGACGGAGACTTTCTTCTATGCTGCAATTGATATTTGACTTTGAGAAGGATTCGGATGCTGAAGCAAAGATAGCTACTTCCTTTGCTCCAGCTGCAACAGCCGCTTCAAAACCCTATACAAAGCAGTCAAAAAATCTCATCAATAATCACAAAATGCATTCCAGATTAGTTCTACCTTTATATTTCTGTACTGAAGTTCATACCTTAATATTTGGGGTCAACACAGGAAATCGAGCACCTTCAACATTTCGAATTCCCTCCATAACATCGTTTGCATCTGCTAACTGAGGAAAATATGAGGAAACGAGGTTAATTAGTATATCTACAAGAAACTCAAACAT